CTCTAAGCCGTGACTCCTACTTTGGCATTGTCCATGTAATTACCTTTATTTTCCAAACAACTGTGTGACCAGGTTTGAAAAGAGGTCATTTATTTTCAGATGTGATGTGACAGAGGCTGGGACCCTGCTCCTTTATTCAACCGCATAAATAAGTTAAAGCACTTTTTAAATTGCATGTTGACTCCTCCAGGCCCAGAGGACAATGTCCAGGAACCAGCTTACTGAAGGGCAGGTGGGCTCTGACGGGTGGGGTTTGGAAACAAAAGAAAAGTGCCTTTGGATGAAGTGAATAGGCTAGACTTACTCCTGTTCTCTTTGGAGATCAGCAAAAATACTCTAGCACATTCCACAGATCAAGAAAAAAAAAATTCAGCTCAAGAAGACTTCTGAGTTACTAATGTAGGCTTGCAAATATAGCAACCAAAATGAAACGGCTACTTTTTAATGATTTCCTATAATGGTGTTTATATATGGAAACTTTCTTCTCGATTGAAGCAATTTAATTGGAAAATGGCAAAGGAGTAAGAGGAGGCAGACGGCCAGTTCCAATTCACAGACACACTGACTGCACTGCGCCATCAGCCTTAATGAACTCCTCCTTGTTGTCCCCGAGTGCCTCACCTCCTCAGGGACCTGGTAGAGCTGCCCCTGCCCTGAGCACCTCCTCCTGCCCTGTGACTTCTGGGAAGTGTTCTCCCATGCTTCTGCCTGAGGTTATCATGAGGGGCCCCTGCAGGTCTCCTGTGTGGTCCTGACCCCACTGTGGGTCTTTCCTGTGGACCTGTCTGCGTCCTTCAAAGAACTGTGAGCTCCAGGATGGTGGTCACTGCTATGCTGGTTAACCAGGTAGCTGAAGTCCCTGACTGCATGGAGCCTACAATCCAGTGTGAGAGCCAGATCAAGCCTGATAATATTTAAGGAAATAGGTACAAACACAATCTATCCTCAGGCAGTGCTCCATGCCATAAGGAAAACCAAGCAGGGAAAGGGGAGAGGAGAGAGGGAGGGATGCTGCAGGACTGTAGAGAGGAGGTGGGGGGGGGTCTTTGAGGAGGAGACAGCTACTGACCGAGGGGGCGGGCCCATGTGGATTTTAGGAAGGAGTTTTCCAGGTAGAAGGAACAGCCAGCACAGAGCTCTGCGGCAGGAGAAGCAGCTTAGGTTGGAGGACCAGGAGGCCAGTGTGGCCAGAGCTGGGAGAAAAACAGGGAAAACAGGGGAGGAGGAGGTTGGAGGTGAGCAGTGCCCAGGTGCAGTGGGGCCCTGTCAGCCACGCCCATGCTCGGTGAGGAGCGCTTGAGGGACTTGAGAGGGGGAACACAGTATCAAATGGCAGATTCTGTGTCTTACGTACCCAATACCTAGCACAGTGAGCTTGTGGGATAAGGAAACAAAGGTTTCTAAGTGTGGGCAGAGAACATGTGCTAACACTGGGCAGAGGGGATCCCCCTCCAGGCTCAGTCTTGTCAGGAAAGATGCTACTCCCAGTTACAATCAGCACATATCTTAAAAATGAGAGACAGGATGGAAAGAAATGATTTGAGCTGAATGATCTGGGAAAACCAGGATGCCCTATGGAGCAGACAGGCGGACACCCTGGCTGCTGTGTGAGGACCAGTGCTGCAGGTACCGTCTCATGCCAGGAGCTCCGAGAAGTCCCACTGGAAGGACGCCATGTAAGTGAGTTTATTGCCACATTTCCCAAACTGATTTAATTGTGAAACTTGGTAGGCGTGTGGGTCACTTATCCATTTCATAAAAATACAGTGTGAGAGAAATGAATGGAAGGATCCATGTAGGGCTGGTGCTTTGCAGTGAGCAGGAATTTCTTGGCTGCATGTATCTCTCTGGTTGCCTAAGGCTGGAAGATAGTCCCGAAGCTTGGAACTGCGAGGGGCAGAGACTTATGATGCTGCTATGGACTTAGCACGAAGGGCTTTGGCCCAAGGATGGGCTGGTCACTGGGGATTGTGTGTATTATAACATAAAGCCCAGGTCTGGGTTCAGGCTAGTTTGGGGGAGGCAGTTTTGGCCCAGAGAGCTGTCTTCACGCTTCAGTGCATTTCTGTCCTGGCTTAACTGATAGTATGTCAATGTCTTTGATATAGTTAAATCCATCTTATTTACCCTTAGCAGCAATGCAGAATGCTGATGGCTTCTTCCCCTCAAGAGCCTCCTCTGACCTACTGGCTCTCGGGACCCTACTCTCCTCACTGCCTTCCTACATCTTCGGGCTGATTGGTTGATGGACTGGTTGTCTACCTTATTCATTCATTCCAACAACTCTGCTTGAACACATGCTATGTGCCAGGCCTTGTGAGAGGCTCTGGGGATACAGCAGGAGGTGAGATAAACATGCTTCTGCTCAGTGAAGCAGGACAGTCAGTCAAGTCAATAAATACAAACACATCATCATTTAAAATGCCCATGTGATAGAAGGAAACTAATGGGACAGTGGCAGAGTCGGCACAGGGACTCATAGAGAGTGGTGCTCTCCAGAAGGCTTTTTGAAGAGGCATATTTAAACTGAGACAGAAATGCTGAGAGAGCTCCTGCTGACTGTTCCTCAGCTGGTGCCCCGAGGCTTGTCTCAAGCTGTCTCCACTCATGCTCTGGCATCAACTTCCACTCCTTTAGCTCCCACCTGCAAATACCCTGACGTCTCCCAGCCACTTTTCTTCAGCCCAGGACTCTCCTCTTGATTTCTTACCTGAATACCCGATGCCTTCTGAAGTACCTCCACTCTGAGCTCTCACAGACACACAAAACATAATCTCCATCCATTCCTGCCACCCCAAGCAAAGCAAAACAAAACTCAAAGCAAAACCTTTTGTCCATGCTTCCATATTGGCGAGTGACCCCACCATCCATCTACTGTGCAAACTTGACTATGATAGGACAACACATAGCCCTCTAGCTTTATCCTTTGTTTCCACTCCTTCAGTAAATCTCGCCAATTTTACATCCTGTCTACATCTCAACTGCCACCATCCCCATCCTGGCAACAATTTTGTCTACCAAGACTTGTGCAAGTGTTTCCTAGCTAGCCTCCTCCACTCACGCTTGATCTATGGAGCCTTTCTCCACACGACAGAGTGACTGATTCAAAATGCAAACGTGATCATCTCATCCCCTTCTCCACTCCTAATGTCTTTCAGTAGCTCCCATGGATCTTTGGATAAACATGGTGTCAGTAACATGGTCTAGAACAGCGGTCCCCAATCCCTGGACCACAGAATGGTACTGGTTGGTGGCCTGTTAGCAAACAGGCTGCACAGCAGGAGGTGAGTGGCAGGAGAGTGGAATTCTGCCTCCTGTTACGTCTCAGAGGCATTAGACTCTCACAAGGGTGCAAATCCTATTGTGAACCGTTTGTGTGAGGAATCTAGGCTGCATGCTCCTTGTGAGAATCTAATGCCTGATGACCCTCACCCCCTACCACATCCCATCAGCAGAAAAACTGTCTTCCACAAAACTGGTCCCTGATTACGAAAAGATTGAGGACTGCTGGTCTAGAAGACCCATGGTCTGGCCCAGGGGTCCTCAAACTTTTAAAACAGGGGGCCAGTTCACTGTCCCTCAGACTGTTGGAGGGGCAGACTATAGTTT